TGTCAGAGTTAAAGGAATTGAAACTGAGACTGCTCAGTGTTGTAATCTGCTGATTTTGGATGGTGTCTTAAATATTTTTGTTTGTGTCTGCATGAAATATGCTGGAGTCAGATGTATGTATGATTTCTGGTGAAACAGTGAGTCAGTGGCAGGGATGGGAATAAAACCCCAGATTCTTGAATCCCAGCCCACTGCTCTAACTACTGTTACACATTGTTTCTCCCTATCTTTGTTGCTACCTTGAGGGTAGCATGTCCAGGATTAAACATCCAGATCAACAAGGTGGATCAAGTAGTAGAAAAAGAAATTTGTAACTTAAATATTTTTGCTCTTTGCTTCTCTGTCAGGCTCTGAGAAGTTGAGGAGTCCATGGTAAAATTTTCAAAAGTACCTTGGCAATTTAGCCAAAGTCCCATTTTCAAATGGGACTTAGGCATTTCAGAGCCTAAATCTCATTGAAAGTCAGTTGGATTTAGGTGCTTTCAAAAACTTTTCCCCATAACTGATCTACAGAAGCTCTTCAAATACTATACTTTTCACGGAAGGCACTTTGCCTTCACACATGTCTAATTCCCTACCCCACAATTAAATCTGTATACATGACATTGATTACTAAAATGAAATAGGCGTTAAGGGAGAATGGGTCTGCTCCTTTCCTGCAATAAGGGTTCAAGGAATCTTCAAGGCCAACTGAGCCTTTCCTTAATTTTAACTTTGATTTTTTGATGTATTCTCTCTCCACTGTAGAGGAGACATAACAGCACTCATGCCATAAGTCAGCTCCAAGGTCTTAGATTTGAATGAAGGGAAATTAACTTTCCCGTTAAATATGGCCTATCAGCTCCTAAAACTGTAGTCTAGAATGGCGTTCATGTCCAGCCATTGGGAAGGTGGAATGCCCTGTTATCTAAGGGACTGGGAATCGGGAGAGCTGGGTTCTATCCAGAACTCTGCCACTGACTTGCCATGTGACTTTCCCCACTCAATGCCTCAGTTTCCTGATCTGTAAATGGGTATAATAACACCACCCTTTGTAAAGTGCTTTGACAGCATCAGATAAAAAGTGCACTATAAATACAAAGTATTTTATTACTAGGCATTCAGAATGCCCAAATTACTGCTAAATGCATTTTTACCAGTTTATCCTATTGAATAAACAACTAATTGTGTGTCTACCATTGGAAATTGATGACTGTGCAGCTTTAGTAATAATAAAAGGCAGCAGATTTTCTTTCTTAAGGCAAGTGAAGGTTGAATAAATTCTCTGTGAAGCAGGGAGCTGCAAAGTGCTTTCACCACAACCACTTTCCTTTTCCTCTGGTAACTTCAAATCCTCCAAGTACAGAGACTGATATGGAGGGGTTGGTCAGTTGGCTTTTTCTAAATGTGGAATTTTAAAAGATGAAGTCGCATGCTTGGATCTTGTTTGAAAACTGGAATTTTCCCTTATCCCCTGGGTTGTTTGAGTTTTAGAAGATTTTGTGGGTGCTGTGTGAGTATGCACATACACGGAGAACTTTCATAGCACTTCGCTTGAGCCAAGCATAAGTCAAGCGGTCGTCAGAGGCTTCTCCTATCCGTGGCTTTCTGTGACTTGCAACAGCCCTCTTAACCAAGGGCCTACTCCCTTCTGTGAGGGCACCTTACCAGCAGAGCACCCGCTCCTGTTCCACTTCTGGTCCTCTCCTGAACAGCAACTGTCTACTTCAGCAATAATGCCCTGTGATGGGAGCAATTGACCAACATCCCCTACTCTGTTATTTGTATTCATTTCATCTTATGACACATGCTGCTCTTTCAGACCATGGACAAAACTTAATAGTATGATTTTAAAAGAACAGATTGGCACAGTGCTTACCAGCATGCTCTCCCGGCCCCACCCACTGAACAACCAGAGATCAGGACTGACAGCTGAATGTACAGATGAACCTGAATGTATAAGGGTACTGACCACTGAGCTCTAGTACCAAGTGGCATTTGCTAGCATCCTAGATGCTTCACAGTTCGGCTCCAGCATGGAGATATCCCTCACGGGACTAAAAGACACACTCCTCCTGGCAGTGGGTGGAAGCTACATCTCAATGCTTATGCTACTTAACCTCCCTGAAGCGTTTGACACATCTGAGCACTGACCTTCTCACGTGATGTAGGTAGCGCAGCACTACCTTGGCTCCGATCATTCCTCTCCCAACAGGAGCCAGAGTGTGGTAATAGGCAACTGATCCACTTGCCCCCAAAACCCTCAGTTGTATAATCTCATAGCGATCTGTGCTGCCACCATTCCCCTCCTCTCTCCAATATCTACATGAGAGCATGTTGGTAGGTGGTAAGACACCATGGGTTCCTCTGCCACTGGTGCACCAATAACACACACTACATATACCCCCTTACCACAGCCACAACCAACACCATTACAAAGATCTCACAGTGCCTTAAAGGAGATCAGCACATGGTAAAGAGCAGCTGGCTCAGACTGAACAAGGGCAAGACCAAAATGGTCAGAAAGGGGAAATGTTTAGAAGTAGCTTGGACATTGTTCTCCCCTTCCATCAAAGGTGTCTGTCTCCATTCATCAAAGCAATGAAAGTCTTTGGGTCCTGTTCTACTCATCACTTAGCCTAGGAGACCAGATAGAATCAATGGCAAAAAATTCTGCCTTCTGCCTCCAGTTTACTAGGAAATTTTTTGCTTTCTTCCAAACTGAGGCTCTGGCAACTGTGTGTCCACAATAGGCTCTTTTGGAAACATTTCCCTTTGTTACTAACACCCAGGCAGCCTCATGTCCACCATATTCACTTTGTCAGGTTACAGCAACAATCATGCAAAGGATCATTCAACAGTGATAAAATGTGTGTGTGTGTGTTTTGTTTTCTACTGTGTGTGAATTTGATTTTGATTTTTTTTAACTGCAAATAAAATATTTCCCATGAGGCTGTCCCTTTAAAAGCAAACTTTGCCCCATCTTTTTCATACAGTTGCTCTTTATTCCCTTGAAATGGTGGGAGTCAGGCTAAACCCACACGACCATCCAGCCTGCAGAGGGACGGAACTTCATCTTCCCCTGCACTGGCCACTCCTGAGGCTGGATCAGACCCACCTCCAGTGGCAGTGCAGAAGTAAGGGTGGCAATACCATACCATGCCACCCTCACTTCTGCACTGCTGCTGATGGTGGCTCTGCCTTCAGAGCTGGACACCCAGCCAGCAGCCGCCACTCTCTGAAGGCAGCACCACTGCCAGCAGCAGTGCAGAAGTAAGAATGGCAATACGGTGACCCCACTTGCGACCCCAACCCAACTCCTGTTTGGGTCACAGTTATAACCCCCACAGTTAACCCCCTCAGTTATAACACTGTGAAATTTCAGATTTAAATATCTGAAACTGTGAAATTTAAGATTTTTGAAATCCTGTGACAGTGAAATTTACCAAAATAGATGGTGAATTTGGGAGGGCCCTGCACATAGATTTCTGACCTGCTGTAACTCCCAACCACACCTTGTCTTCTGATCTCCAGGTTCTGGCATCACCTTGACTCTGGCCTTCTGATTCCAGCCTGGTACAACATCTGATCTCGGGTCTGTTGAGTTTGACTCTGGCGATTCCTCCAACCCCTGCTCACGGACTGCCATCTTGCAGTTGTTCTTGACATGTAGACTCCAGCTCAGCTGTGACTGCTAGGCAAGACTACCTAGGTCCCAGCCCCTTACAGTCTGCTTCTGTGGTGTTTCTTGTCCTCTTGTCCCATGCACAGCTCCACCAAATCAATACCCAGACCTCTACATTTTCATTCATCTCCTAGTACAGGGATCGGCAACCTTTGGCACGCGGCCCATCAGGGAAATCCGCTGGCGGGCCGGGACGGTTTGTTTACCTGCAGCATCCGCAGATTCGGCCAATCGCAGCTCCCACCGGCCACAGTCCCCCGTTCCAGGCCAATGGGGGCTGCGGGAAGTGGCATGGGCCGAGGGGTGTGCTGGTCACTGCTTCCCACTGCCCCCATTGGCCTGGAACCGCGAACTGTGGGCAGTGGAAGCTGCAATCAGCTAAACCTGCAGATGCTGCAGGTAAACAAACCGTCCCGGCCCGCCAGCGAATTTCCCTGATGGGACGCATGCCAAAGGTTGCCAATCCCTGTCTAGTGAAATCCCTCTATCCGCATAGCTCTGCTCCCTTGACAGATATTGACATATGGCTGTGTTTTAGATGGTGGCTCCTATTGTTTTAGCTATGTTATTCCAACAGGAGCTTAACTGCTTCTTACATTTAGCCTGAATGAAGGATGATTGTTACACCCACTGCTTCAACGAAGTTTAACCCAACCCCCAGCAAAGGAACTGCTCCAGACAATCTGTGCCACAGGCAAAACTTCAGTGTGCCTTCCCCTCCTCATAGGCCTAGGGTGGGAGACTTGGCTTGCCTGTCCCTTCATCATGGCACAGGGCCAACTGGGCCAAATATGAGTGGTGGTGTATCCCATGGGCAAGTCACAATGCCATTTACTCAAATTTGGCCTGGCTGTGCCTCTGTAAGGATGGAGAGCCAGTTGGGTCAAATCTGCCACTCTAGGCAATTGCCCAGAAATCTGCCACGCTAGACAACTGCCTTGTTTGCCTATAGCTAAAGTGGCGCCTGACCTCCACCATAACGATAGCATGAACTTTACTAGTATTCACAGCTCCTGATTCGGCTTGTGTAATTGAATCCAGTCTTGAAGCGTGGGAGGAATTGTGCTGTCTTCCCTGTTTGCTGATGGAGTTGAAATTTCAGTTGCAAATGCAATGCTTAATCCTAGCTTTAAAAAACCAAAAGGCAGTAGTTTCTTTCGAGATATAAATGCAGTGCCAGAACATTAGTGGCTGACAGAGAAGCACTGCATTCTAGTTATAAAAGCAGGGAAATTTTAGACTAGAAAGATGCATCTCTTTAACAACCACAGCCACATTCTGGCAAACATTTATGAGACCATCATATTCCTTTTCCCATTTCCCATTATTACTGCAGGTTACTAAGAAATTTGGAAACATAAAGATGCTTCTTGCTTTCTGATCTCCATTCTCCTCCTGACAGCTTTATTTAATGATGCCACCATCTAGTGTCTAACATGCAGACAATTCTGTGGTGAGTAACTATGGTACATCATGCATTGTCGTCTTACCTCACTGAATAGATCACGGGAGAGAAGTTAGCATGTTAAACAGGAGAGAAACCTTGGTAATCCCCATGAGGGCGAGCGAAATACAGGAGTAGTTTTGTAGGGTTTAGCAAATGGAACACATTTGGTTAAGTTTGTCTGAGGATAACTTTGGGGTTCTAAAGCTCACCTTCATTTCACACAGACTTTCTATACTTAGGGTACATCTACACTGAAAAATGCTCCCCCTTCCCCCACGCGACAGTGAGTCTTAAAGCCCAGGTCAATTGACTCAGGCTCATGCTACGGAACTAAAAATAGCAGTGTAGACATTTCCATCTGGGCTGGAGCTTGGGCTCTCAGGGTATGTTTACACTGCAGTTAAAAGCCCTGACTTTGGTTTGTGGGGCTCAGGCTAAGAGGCTGTTTAATTGTGGTGTGGACATCCAGGCTTGGACTGGAGCACAGGCCCTGTGACGTGGGGGTGTCCCAGAGTTTGGGCTGCAGCCTGAGCCTGAATGTCTATACCACAATTAAAGAGCCCCTCAGCCCATGCCCCGTGAGCCTGTGTCAGATGGCACAGACCAGCCGTGGGTGTCTAATTGCAGCGTAGACATACCCTAAGACTGGGTGACCAGATAGCAAGTGTGAAAAATTGGGACAGAGGGCAGGGGGTAATAGGAGCCTGTTTAAGACAAAGCCCCAAATATTGGGAATGATAAAATCAGACCATCTGGTCACCCTACCTAAGACCTTCCCCCTTCTGGGTTTCAGAGCCAGAGCTCTAGCCTGAGAGGGAACAATCACCTACACTGCTATTTTTAGCCCTGTAGCACGAACCCAAGTCAGTTGAACTCTGAGACTTGCTGCCATGGGATGGCGGGGGGTGAGTGGGGGGAGGGTTGCTGTGCTGACGTACCCTAAGAAACAGGATATAAATTTTTCAGAGTTTGCAGAGACATAATAAACTATTTTGGAGATTTCCAAAAAACAGATGCCCAAACTCAAGTATTCAATTAGAGGCTGCTTTTGAACAATTTGACTCTAGATGTCTTATAACTTTGTTTTCCTAGCGTTTTATAGGAAAGGCTCCAAGCAATCCCTTTGTAAAGCCAGCTGCCTTCCCAGATAATAGAGCTGTTTACAGTTTACCAGTGCAGTTGTGTCCAGACATGCAGCAACTGACTCCCAGTTCTGCAATTAATTCACCATCCTAGCAGGACAAGTTAGACTCTCTCAATTCAAAGTGGGTGCAGGGCAGGGAACATATGTGCCGCTTGTAACAATGATATCTGGAAGCCTTGGGTCTCAAAACGGATGTAAAATTGTGGCTCATGGTGGCCTTGAGAGAACAAGGAAGTGGCAGAGATGAATATGCCTCCTATCTTCTCTGAAGTGGAGGTTACTAACCACACCTCATAGTCTCAGTGTATTCAGACTGCTGGTTGCCTACTATTAACTTTTTGTGAAACACAGAATTTTCAGGTAGAACAGCAATTTCCCTAGTTTCTCTATACAAGGGATTCAAAATTAATCTAGGCCTGTAGAATTCAGGACCTTACGTAGGTGTGGTCTACAGCCTAACCTTAATATATACCACAAGCTGTTATTTTATTTATTTTTTTCCTATCTCTGGCATGGTGATGTGATTGTTCACAGAAATGGACTGTTAAATAACTTAGTCCATTCTCCCCTTATCCCATCAATACAAAATTGTTCCCTACTGTATTTCTTCTAGTGCTCCAGTCTAGTTCTAAAGCACGGTTTTACTCTGAAAAGTGAGGGCAGCATTTGGCCTACAGAGTGTGATTATTATGAGAAAGATAGAACCTAGCTCAATTATCCCATTCCAGGCTGAGTCTGCAGGGCTGGCAGTTTGGAAAATTATCTTTTTCACTTGTAATGCAGTTATGTAACAGGAGACTACATTACACTTGGAATGAGCACTGAGACGCAATAAACAGGGACATCCCCCCCCCCCATGAGTCATTCTTACAGAAATGGTTTCAGAGCAGAATCACACTTTAAATGTCTCAAGCATGTTTCTGCCACTTCCCTGGGGAGCCTGGGAGCAGAACACATCTCACTGTCAGGAATTATTTGTCCTGATATTCATCCTATATTTTCCCTTAGTTTTATCCCATTACACCTAGTTATACCCCTTTGAATCACCCAAAATAATTTGTCTCCATCCTTGGAGCTTCAAATGTTTGTGGACTGTTTATTCTCCCCTACTCCTTCCATGTAGTGTTGCTTTATTAAGGCCCAGGCTGAAGTCCTTGCTCATTGAGTTTTGGGAGCATAAAATATACAGGATGGGGGCTACAATCTTTCTTCCTCTGTTAATCTCTCCAGCCCTCTGAACACTATCTAATGTGGTTCTCTTTAGTAATTAGGCACCCACAACTGAACATAGGTTTTTTTTCTGATGCAGTCGCAGCTAGAGGCATACAGAGACAGGCTCTTGCCTCCTGAATTTTCTAAATATTACTGATACCGTTTTCAGGAGAGACCCTTTGGCTGCATCTCTTGTCAGAAATAGAGGTGTTCCAGTGGCAGATAGATGTGATGTTATGGGTTGGGCGAACAGCAGCTGCTGACCTTTTTTATCTTAGCTTTGACACAGGTATCCCTGAGGGAAACCCTTATTTATCGCTCTCTTATCCACATGGCACCAGTGATGAGCTCCCAAAATCCTAAGAACTGGTTCCCTACCGGGTCCTCGGCGGCACTTCGGCAGCAGGGGGAGGTCTTCACTCGCTCCGGGTTTTTGGCAGCATTTCGGCGGTAGGTCCTTCACCTGGAGCGAGTGAAGACCCCCTCTCCCGCCCGCCGAAGTGTCACCGAAGACCCGGTAGAGAACCGCGCGGTGAGTACAAGCCGCATGTGCCATGCGTCTGATGAAGTGGGTATTCACCCATGAAAGCTTATGCTCCAATACATCTGTTAGTCTTAAAGGTGCCACAGGACTCTCTGTTGCTTTTTACAGATCCAGACTAACACGGCTACCCCTCTGATGCATTCACTTAAATGTCCCTGCTTGATATTGCAACTGCTTTGTGTGTCCCATAAATGATAACAGAGAGACACTTAAAGAAGAAACTAAAGAACTCCTAGAGCAGTGTTGACTCATGGTCAAAGCAGTGCACTGGGAGCCAATACTGAGGACTGTCTGTGTCACTGTGTAACCTCTAAAAAAACAGGAGTACTTGTGGCAACTTAGAGACTAACAAATTTATTTGAGCATAAGCTTTCGTGGGCTACAGCCCACTTCATCGGATGCATAGAATGGAACATATAGTAAGGAGACATATATACACATACAGAGAACATGAAAAGGTGGGAGTTGCCCTACCAACTCTAATAGCCTCTACCACTCCTAGACACACAGAATCCCTTTTCAGAGAAATATCTGTAGAAGAGCTCTGGAGTGGGGGGAGGAAAGTGCAAAGATTCCCTTGAACAATGTCTCCATCATTTCAGGGGTAGGAGTGTTTGCCCTCCTGAGAAATGGGTGATGATTCTGCCCCCAAACCAAATGGATTCCCAACATACATGCACAGGCTCTGTCCTGGGACCCACAGCACCTCCCTGCTAGCGCAATGCATGGCTCCATTGGAACCATACTACTTAGGGGCTCCTCTACACATGGCAGTTCTTTTTACAGGTGGCTTCTCCATGTGGAAGAATGGTGGTAAAGGTAATGCTGTGTTGTCTTTTTCAAGTAATCAGCACAAATATAATCACCCTCCCAAACCCCATAATTCAAAGCTATGGGCTTTGATCAAAGGGAGCAAGTGTTTCGTTCAGCAGGCTGTATTGTCTGGAGCAGCCTTTAAATTTCTGGAAGAGTCCAAAATTCTGTCTTTGCATCTTTTTCTCCCCACCACAGACAGACACTTCCCCAGATCACCTCCAAACCAGAAAGCCCCCAGATGTTACAGTCAATTCGATCTGATTTTCAAACAGTTAAATCTTATTTTTCCCAGAGAAATCAATGGCATTAGTTAGAATAACAAAGCAGCAGTCTCTGCATCATTTACCAAACAAACTAGGAACTGTGCAGAAACAGGGCCTGCTCCAGGCACCAGCCCACGAAGCATGTGCTTGGGGCGGCGCCTGGAGGGGGGCGGCGCGACGGGGCCCTCCAGCCCTCCAGCAGGGCCGCAACTGGGCTCACTGCCCTCCCCCCGGCGCTTCGGCCGGTCGGGGAGAGCAGAGATTCGCGGCGGGCTCGCCGCCCTCCCCCCCAGCGCTCTGGCCGCCGGGGAGAGCGGAGAGACCCGGCTGGGCTTGCCGTTCTCCCCCCGGCGCTCTGGCCACCGGGGGCTCTCTGCCCTACCCCCCGGCGCTCTGGCGGCCGGGGAGAGCGGAGAGCCCCAGCCGGGCTCTCCGCCCTGCTCCCAGCGCTCCGGCCGGTCGGGGATTGCGGGCCCGCGGCAGGGCCTAGGGCGGCAAAAAAGCCAGAGCCGGCCCTGTGCAGAAAGTCCCAATAGCAGCAGAGCCCTATAACTCGAACATGTGCCAGTGGTGCATTTCAAGGCCTCTCAGTACACTGTAAAGATTCCCTCCCAGATATTTCTAGTTTCTTGCCATCTGTTTTAAGATGCAATAGCTGCTCTGTAGCTTTCCAAATGCAGAGCCCCTGACTCAATAATTCAGGGGACCACTTTGCTTTCTCTCTCTTTCTTAGGAATTTCTCATGTGACCACCACCACCGCAGACCTTGAGTACAGGTCATCTCCTGGTTCCAGATTTGAGAATCATTTGAGGGGTTCTGTGGCAGTGCAGCAATGGGGAACTTCAGAAAAACTCAGGAGCAAAAAGTCAAGCCTCCAGCATAGCATTTTAAAACTGCAATCTTCTTCAGTTCTCCTTTGGGGGGGGTGGGAGGAGGAGTGTGGACAGCAGGGAGGGACTGCTGAGAAAATCCATGGTAAACTGATCTTCCTGCCTCCTTCCAGAGGTCTTCCGTGGATGCTTGAAAAATGTGTTCTTGTGGGCTCCAAGTGTGTTAAGAGCCAGATAAATTGTTTTGTTTGTTCATTTCCTGTCATTTCAGGGTTCCTTGAGGACTTTCTCAGTGAGAATAGGGAGAGGTCAGTGTTCTGTTATTTAGAAAGACTCCAATTACAGATATTTAAACAAGCCAAAAGTGAACAGCTTAACAGGTCAGATGAGGAAAGCAAAATATCAAAGTCATCCTCTCCCTCCCTCTCTCCGAGGGAAACCAGAGCCCCTGTGACCCTAAACATCTGATTTCACCACACACTCACCACCAGTTTACTCTCTTTGCAGTTTAGTGCTGTCCGCTGTTTTCTCATAAGAGAGTCCATTGTGGGGTTGGTGGGAAGAGGGGGCAAGAGGTGTCTGCCCTCACTACGGGAATGCAGAGATCCTGCCACTGGTGGGGTGGGAATGGGAGAATAGATCTGGGCTCAGCTGCAGCTGTTTCCATGTCAGGAGAGAGGGAGCTGCATAAGGAAAGAGAGGGTGTGGGTGTTCAGCTGAGAGGGGAGCAGCCTTGCTTACATAAGAGAGCACTGAAAGGCTCTGGATGTAGAAGCTATAGTTACAAACGAAGACTCTGGCTGTAGGGAGCCTTACTCCTTTTGTGGGAAGCCTTGTATTTTGTGTTGGACTTTTGTTATAGGGGCCTGTTTTCAGTCTACAGCAGTTAGGCAATAAGCTTGGGCCCGTCAATTCCCACCATGACCAGGGACTGGGCCGACCTTTCTGCGACTGAGAGGTTGATCTTCTGAGTTTTCAGCTCTTCCATGCAGGCCTTATTTGCTGCCCTTGTAGAACTGAACTGGATAAAAATGGAATTAGCATATTATTATTCATGTTTATTTGTATTATTGTAGCATGTAGAAACCTACTGTGCTAGACACTATACAAACCCAGAACAAAAGTTAGATCTAGCACATTGGTTCTCAACTTTGTTGGGCTCAGGACCCATTTGTAAACCTTGATGATCTGTCGTGACCCAGTGAGTAGCTTTAAGGCAAAAAAACATCTGTCTTACTAGATATTTCTTACATTAATGTGTCTATATTGTGGGTAATAAGCACTAAATAAGTGCACCCTGCAGACCATCTTGGCAGCTCCTGTCCTCCAGGGCTTGCTGGGCTCAGCTCCCTCCTCCAGGCATGGGGGCTCAGCACCAGTCAGATTTGGCCCAGCCACTTCTCTGTCATGATGATGGGTGGGCCAGCTAGGCCAAATTTGAGTGAGTGGCCTTACAATCCTGGTGCATGTGGACCCTCCTCTTCCACAGACTTTGTGTGTGACCTTGGGCAAGTCACCTCGCCTCTCTGTGCCTAAGTTCCCCATCTGTAAAATGGGCATAGTACCCTACCTATCGGGAATTGTGAGGACAATTGCATTAAAGATTGTGAGGTGCTCAGATACTTTGGTGATGGAGGCCATATAAGTACCTAAGATAGACAGAGTTAAAAAAATCCATTTAAAATTCATTATTACTGAGTTCTGTCTCTTCTCAAACATGAGGAATGCTATATGACCTCTTTCTGTGGTACTAGAGCTGTAGGATATTTAAGGTATGGATACATTGCAAATATTATAGCAGAACTGAAAAACATATACAGGAGGTACAATAACTTTGTTTCAGTGCAATATGTTGGAGATGGGGCCAGAACTTTTGGGAAATGTTTAGATCTGTGGCTTGGGCCCATGGTATTTTGAAGAATTTCTAGGACATATTATTCCTTCCATTTTCCCCCCACCCCCATCACCTGCACTATTTTGCATGGCACAGTGAGGGTAAATTATATTATCTTGAGCAGGCAAAAAAATATAGTCTATTTTATTTGACTTTCAGCAAGCGTTATCCAAATTTCGCAGAGCTCTGATGGAGTTGTTCTTGTTGGATAAGCATGAGTATATGTGTAGGTGACATAAAGACGTTGAACACACACAAGATGAGAGGTGAGACATTGGGTGACGTGCCCCTAAATCATCATGACTTTTGTGGAAAATGGAAAAAGCAATGTTTCAAATGTATTGGATGCAACTAGAGCTAGTCAGGTTATTTGTTGTGAATCGTTTATCTGAGAACTGTGACCATTTTCCCCTCCCCTTTTAAAATTATCTACAAATGGGTGACTTTTACATATTTTCTTCTTGTTATCAGTGTGGTCAAATGAATTGTTTTGTGCAAACAAATTTTAACCAATGTTTGGGCACGAACTTGTTGCTGTGAATATTCACTATTTGTGTCATTACTAATCATCTAGGTCACATGGTGTTGACTCTGTTTCCTGATAGGTTGGCCTACGTTTTATAAACAAGGGGACTTCCTCATTATTATCAAGCATTTCCATGGCATCCAGCATCAGGGTGATTTACAAGGCTTATGTAGACACATTCCAGGTCCCAAGCCTCATGCTGCACTGCAGCTTTACCAGTCAGCTAGGAAACAATATTCAATCAGTTGAAAAGCCAAGCTAAATTCATGCTTATTCATATTTCCACAGGGCTTGAATGCCACAGAAACAGGGGCTTCATAAAAACCTAAGACAGGTAGGGAATGAATTCACACACCTCTGGAAAACAGAGATAATACACAGGTGTGATGTGACACTTTAAGCCCTATGGAAGAAAATGCTATCCAAGTTGAAGGCTCCATTCCACTTGCTGCATGGGGCTGTTTTAAGATGAAAACCATTTAAAAAATAAAATCACACACAACGCTCTTTAGAGACCCCATGCTGCTTTTTTTAAGAGTAGGGGTTTGTCACAATGCCTTTGGCCAAACTTATTCCTCCTCCGCATACAGAAAAGGTAGTGTTCTGACCCCCAGAGGTGACTGCATTTTGGTGGAACTGTGTATGTAGTTTGTGAAATGTGTTAGTTGCCTTTATTATTAAAATGCTGGGGCTTATTTTTTCAGTTAATTTCTTTAGGGTGTTTTTTGTTTGTTTGTTTTTAACTTTGAGAGACCTAATTACACCCTTTCTTGACTCTTAACAGAATTTCTAATGTGAAAGGAAAAAGCCAGGAAGTGCCAAGGAGGTGCTGCTCCCCATTGATTGGCATTGACCATTCTGGGCCTTTCCCTCAAGCACTGGGTGAAAATGAGCAGCCTGTCCCGAGCATGACGTCATTGGCAAATGTCATTGCTTCCCACCAGTCAGAGTGGGTCTCCTTCAATGATGAGCTGCTCGTGCCGGTTACTTCGCAGGGTAAGTTCCCTCAGATTCCTTTAGAGCCCTTTAAGACTTTTTAAAATTAAATTGGCCCATCTACTGACACAGATTTGGTCTCATGAGAACCTGCCTTCCAAGTGGAACAGAGGAGGCTGAGTTACTTCCTACTTCCCCTGCATGATGGAGAGTTCTGGGTAAAAATATCAAATGTTATGTATCAAGAGAAATGTTTTATAAATGCCCTTTCATTGGGTGTAGTTCTGCCTCAGTTACACAGTTCCCACTGACCACATGGGATGCTTCACCTATTATAACTAAGGGCAAAACTAGGCCTGGTGTGAGATTAAAAGGGGATGAAGGCTGTTCACCTATAGTTAGTGACAAGCTCAGCAGAGACTGCTACAGGGCTTTGTAAGAAATAATAAACTAATGGCAGCTGCACTAAATCTCTCTAACCCACTCCTGGTGATTCTCCTCCTAGCATGAACCCTCAGGTCCAAGAGCAGAAACTAAAGTTGCCTCTCATCATTAGCAACCAGTCAGTACAAGTTACATATAATTCCTTTCCTGCAAAAATGGGTCCCCAAGTGCTTGAGTTCCTATAGCTAATACAACGAACATTTTTGATTTCTCTATGCTTATGCTGTTATTTATAAAGGGTTATTTCAGAGGAGACAATCAGCTTTTCAGATGAGTCTGGACGTCCGCTGGAGTGAGATAGAAAAGCTGCCCTGATGACAGGGGCTTTGTTTCTTTCAAGACCTCCGTTAGTGGGTGACCAACAAATGGTCACTATGCTGTGAAACCTGTATATGCTGTGTCCCCTCATTCATGCAAGCACCAGTCCTGTCTAGCGCAGGAAAATAAGTAGTTGTAGTGGTGGCTCCTCTCACTCTGGCTCAGTGGGAGGCCACTCCGCCTCACTACGTCATGAGGATCTGCCCACCATCAGGGAATTAGCAGCAGAGTAAATAGTCTAAGGCTCTAGCCCTTAGATGGAACATAGCAAACGAGCTGTCTGCAAGGTCTGGCTCTTAGGAAGGGGCAATAGCAGTCTAGGGCCTCAGGCAGGGGTGACCACCATACAGTCTAGGGCTCAGACAGGGGTGCTTTTCTAGCCTTGGAGGTAGGGCGCAGAAATAGGCAGTCCATTGCCTGACATCTTGGGTCAGGCAGACAAATGCAGGTCTCTTGTCCTAAGTGGGGAGGCTACCACCCCAGGGGTGAAGTGGCGGGGGGGAGAGGGACATGGGACCACCTGACCCCAGCCCAGGGCCCTAACAGTGGCGAGGCATCCCACCGCTGGGTCAGTGGGGAATTCAGCTGCAGCATGCCGACCACGTTTAAGTAGCCATACAACCGGACTGGAGTCGGCTGTCTCTGGGCCACTTCCTACCTTCCCCTTGGGGTGTACCTACATCCAGAGGTGTCCTCCATCTCCTCTGAGTAGGTATCCAGTGGCAGCTCCCACCACTCCTCAGAGTCCAGGTTAGTCGGCAGCGGCAGCAGCTCTGGCCAGTCTTCAGCACAGTAAGGGTTCTCCTCGGGCTCTAACTCTGGGAGCAGGCAGGAGGCGTCTGTCTCCTCCAGCTGCTTTCTCCCAGCTGAACTACAGGGTTCAGCCTTTATACTTCCTGTCCCGTCCGTTGACTTCTGGTAGGTGGGGCAAGCCCGCTCTGGCTCCGCTCACCCAGGTTTAGCAGTTGGCTCCTCCCCCTCTGGCTCAGTAGGAGGCCACTCCCCTCATCACAGAAGTGTTTAAAAAATGTGTTAGCTAACTTGTTGTTAAATCATGGATGACCTGAGCAGGGAATCTAGGGGCAACCACAACCGGCCAACATCTTCTCCCTTCCCAGCCACCCATCCCATCCCCTGTAAGATTTCATACTCCAATGCAGAATTTAGCACTGACATTTCTGTATGTTTTGTCTCAACTTTAGGTGGCACAGAAGAGCCTCTGGAAAAGTGTTTTTCCTCCTCCGACACCTCCTCAGAAGACAACCATAATGTGGATGGAGAGTTTCAGGACTTCTCACACACTGAGCTGAGTAATGACGTGGACAAGCCTGGGGTGGACTCTGCATCAGTATCTCTGCTTGGGAACCATGTGTGTCCCAAACCTGATCTATCTTCATCTATCAGTAACTGGGTTCAATTTGAAGATATGCCATGGACCAGCACTTTACCAGCTCACATACAAACAGGTAGGGGAGCTTCATGCAAAGGTCTGTTACAATAATACAGCAGGCGGCCGCAAGGGTCTGCACAAATAGCAGATTTTCTTTTTACCCTTCTCTCAGTTCTCTTTAGCTGAAACTGTGCAAGTCATAGTTGAGATTAAACCAGAGGTGGGCAAATTACTGCCTGTGGGCCACATCCATCCTGCCCAGCCTTTGAGCTCCCGGCCGGGGAGGCTAGTCCCCGGGCCCTCCCCTGCTGCCCCTCCTCCGGGCGGCACGGCGGCCAGACATGCTGCTCTGATCAGCATGGTAAGGGGGCCAGGGGGTTGGATAAGGGGCAGGGAGTCCTGTGGGACGGGGAGCAGGGGCGGTTGGATGGGGCAGAGGTTCTGGGGGGCGGTCAGGGGACGGGGAATGAGGGGGGGAGGTTGGTTGGATAGACGTGGGAGTCCCGGGGGGCCTGTCGGGGGCGGGGGTATGGATAGGAGTCAGGGGACAGGGAGCAGGGAGGGTTGGATAGGGGGTGGGGTCCCGGGGGACAGTTAGAGACGGGGGGTCCCAGGAGGGGGCAGTTAGGGGACAAGGAGCAGGGGGGTTGGATGGGTTGGGATTCTGAGGGGGGCAGTCAGGGGGTGAGAAGTGGGAAGGGTCGGATGGGGGCGGGGACCAGGCTGTTTGGGGAGGCACATCCTTCCCTACCTGGCCCTCCATACAGTTTGCCCACCCCTGGATTAAACACAATGGATACTAGCACAGTTTCAAACAGGGCCTATAACTCATCTGTGCCCCTCCCCTCTGTATCAACTACATTGTCTGTTTGATAACACCTTTGGGAGAGAAACAGGTCATTTAAGACATGATAGGTCAAGTCTGAGCTAAGGTTAGCCTGTGGGATTATCAAAAGCAGCATAGAAGATGAAAGGGGAAATGAGTGAAGGGTGAAAGGGTAAATTAAGTTTCCATGAGCCATCTAATCCTTGGCTTCTCCGTTGAGACTTCCAACAAGGTGGTTGGGGTGAGGAGGCCAGGGGAGGAAAGGCGGAGGACAATGACAGTGGTGGTTTTAGTGATAAGGATGCCTGTCCACTGGAAAATGAATCAGACTGTACCAACTCATGTACAGTAGGCCCACCAATCAGCTTTTAAATTTTGGGCTACATTCATACTGGTGACCTAGAAGTCCACCCTTTTCTTCATGATGGGGCTGCTGCTTTTGTTGTCTTCCCTGATGCATCATCCCAATTGCTGAATTGCTTCTGCCAATTGTTCCTTTCCTAGGCAGTGTCGGGGGGAGTGGGCAGCTCATGTAGGTCACTACACTCTGTTATGAACTAGTTAGCTGTCTGGAATCTGATGAGAAGGGGCTATAAATGGCCACTTGTTCTATGCTGGTTCAGAAAGATCAAGGGCTTGTCCATTCCGACACTGCTCCAAGATCCAAGACTTGGGGTGTGACATTTCCTCCCATCACCTGTCTCAAACTGCTCTGCTGAGCCAATTAGGCCGGAGAGTTCAGTCCCCTGAAGTGGGGGGAGGCAGCAGAGAACACATAAATGGAGCATATGTGGTACAGAGAGCTCGGTGAATAGTGGATGGAGCTTTCCTATCTTTCAAGAAGGGGTGGATAACCCTGTGCCATGCCCCAAGTCAGGGCTGTGAGAGTGGGGGAGATAAGCCCTCTGGAGAATTAGGACAAGTTTCCACCATAGAGCTCTGTCAGCATAAATCAACTTGTACTTCACACCACATGACACTGGGGCATGAGCAGCAAACATGCTGTCATTTCAAACTGTCCCATCACTCAGTGACCTATGTGGTTCAAGCTTGCAGCACCGTGTCACCCATGTGCCGTCCACCCAACCATATCCCCACCTGACTCTACTGCTTCCCCTCTGTAAGGTGCCTTATCCCCACCTCTTCTGCAAGGGGAAATCTCCAAAGTTACTCTGGAAGCCAGCAGAGGAGTAATAAACAGCTTTGTGCGGCACTGAGATGCCATTCCCGCAAACGCCATATTCTGTCTTCCCCCTCCCCACGGTGGGGAGAGACACATCTTCTGCTTTCTGCCATTCCCTGGATGTGAGCACACTCTGCTCCTTTCCCCCTCTCCCTAATTTACAGGCAGGACTGATCGGCAAAGGTGCCTGCTTTTGGGCAACTGAGCTTTAATGTGATTTTAGTCCCTTGTTTTAGAGGTGACTTCCCTGTTGCACCTGCTTCTAGATCCCTGCCCAGATCTGGCCGAGTAGAGCTGGGGTCCGTATGGGAATCTGGCTGCTCCTGTTGCTGTGTGCATAAAGAGAGATCTGCGAAGGATATCTCTGCCACACAGCATAGCCTGCGTCCATGGTTCTGTAATACGTACCATGGCATGCGGTGTTTCTGCACAACTCCACCATTCTCTCCACATCAAGTGCTCGTGTGCCAAGCGTTGAATCGGTATAGTATGAAAGGCAGAGAAAGACTTGACTGTGTTGGCATAGGCTTTCCTGGGGGAGAGGGAACTGCTGGGCATGACTGTTATGGCATGCTTTTAGAACTGGTCTCCTCAGCAATGGAGATATGATCCTATGTCAGTTGTAATCTAGAAGCTCAGGGTATGGAGAAGGTTTCAGTCGTGTTTGCAGTCCAGCAGCGTGGAAAATAGAAGTAAATGATATGCTAGTTCTTGGCAGAACTCTAAGACAAGTTAGTTTCCATCAGTGCTCACTCTACCTTCCTAGTGCTGCACTTAATGTCTGAGGAAGCACCGAAGTAGCAGAAACAAAGCATGACTCTGAGATAATAGGTGTTTCGTTTTTGTCATAAGTTCTCATTGATTTCTTTTAAAGTCTGCATCTAAACACTCTAAGCTAGATCCTTAGCTGGTGTAATTCATCATAGCTCCACTGACTTCTAGCCTTCTGAATATATAAAATCTTCACATCAAATGACACAATCCTCTGAAAGGAGGAGGAGCTATACAAGGTATAAAGTTGTGTGGCTGTTCTAGCCCATGTGGCCTATTTCTCCCTGCCCCACTTTCCAAGTATGTATTTTTGATAGCGGCACCTCCTGTCTGTTTCTCTTTAAATAATCAGAAGAGGAAGGAAGAGACTTACTCAGTAATGTAGGGCTTGGCTACACGGCATGGTACAGTCCATTTGAGGGGTGTGAAATGTAGAGCACTCTAATGTGCTACACTCTAACTGCCTATGTAGACCCTGCTGGTGCAAACTAGAAGGTACCTAGTTCATGTTAACATAGTCCTGTTTCAAACTAGATTGTCGGGCTCAACGGGTAGTGATCATCGGCTCGATGCCTAGTTGGCAACCAGTATCAAGTGGAGTTCCCCAGGGATCAGTCTTGGGGCCAGTTTTGTTCAACATCTTTATCAGTGATCTGGATGATGGAATAGAGTGCACCCTCAGCAAGTTCACAGAAGACACTAAGCTGGGGGGAGAGGTAGTTATGCGGGAGGATAGGGATAGGGTCCAGAGTGACCTAGACAAATTGGAGGATTGGGCCAAAAGAAATCTGATGAGGTTCAACAAGGACAAGTGCAGAGTCCTGCACTTAGGACGGAAGAATCCCATGCACTGCTACAGGCTGGGTACCGACTGGCTAAGCATCAGTTCTGCAGAAAAGGACGTGGTCATTACAGTGGACAAGAACCTGGATATGAGTCAGCAGTGTGCCCTCGTTGCCAAGAAGACCAACGGCATATTAGGTTGTATTAGTAGGAGCATTGCCAGCAGATCGAGGGAAGTGATTATTCCCTTCTATTCCGCACTGGTGAGGCCACACCTGGAGTATTGCGTCCAGTTTTGGTCCCCCCCACCCCACCCCACCCCCGCACTACAGAAGGGATGTGGACAAATTGGAGAGAGTCCAGCGGAGGGCAACAAAAATGATTAGTGGGCTGGAGCACATGACTTGCGAGGAGAGACTGCGGGAACTGGGCTTATTTAGTCTGCAGAAGAGAAGAGTGAGGAGGGATTTGGTAGCAGCCTTCAACTACCTGAAGGGGGGTTCCAAAGAGGATGGAGCTAGGCTGTTCTCAGTGGTGGCAGATGACAGAACAAGAAACAATGGTCTCAAGTTGCAGTGGGGGAGGTCTAGGTTGGATATTAGGAAACACTATTTCATTAGGAGGGTGGTGAAGTACTGGAATGGGTTACCTGGGGAGGTGGTGAAATCTCCCTCCTTAGAGGTTTTTAAGGCCGGCTTGACAAAGCTTTGGCTGGGATGATTCAGTTGGTGTTGGTCCTGCTATCCCTGTCTCTAACAAGAGCTCCAGCCCTGAGGCTTTCTACTCCAACCTGACACTGTCCCTGCTTTGCTTTCCCCAGGGCTGTTTTTTACATTTCCCCAGCTCTGTCCATCTTTTTGCTCACCCCTAGACTTCCTTTCTGGACTCTCTACTCCAGGTGCTCCGAGCTAGGAGAAGCAGTAAAGCTCCTGGTCCCTCCTTGAAGGTCTTTTACAGCACTGTCCCTCTTCCTAGTGTACACTGCAGGCAAGCCTACAGCTCCCATTAAGGCTGGGAATTCTGAGAGGTGAAGCTCTGCTGTTCTGAGCTGAAGCTGGGAACTGGCTGGGCTGGGCCTGTGGCCTGCTTTACAGGGCCAGCATAACCTGTTAGAGGCACACAAGCTATTTGGCTTTTCACAAGAAAAGGTAGTTAGAAGGGAAAAGAGAATCTGCTACTCGTAGTTCTCGCCATCTCTCCAGATGCTTCCATTTGTTGGGCTGCAATGAGTGCTCTGGTAAAGAGAAAAGGGCTTTGAAATGTTGCTGGGCCCTGGTGTTTCCCATTTTCTCCATGCAGTCCGGTGCTGCATTGACAAAATGGCAGAGAATGCAGATGGGCAACTAAGTATATTAAACACATTTTGAGCAATTGGCAAGATCTCAACCTTTCTCCTCTTCAGGGCATCTGTCCTTCAGCAGGGCATCTGTGCACAGCCTCGGACCCCTGCTCAGCTAATTGCTGATCCTGGAGCCTGCTTTTAATCTTGGTTGGACAGGAGATTGCATCTTTT